AACATAGATGAGGTTTTTCTTCAACTCATTAACGTGTCTGACCTTTTGTAAAGCCTATTTGTTCTTGTTAGGGAGTGCAATATCAACGTCTCTCATCCCCACCACGTGAAGAGTTTTTCTATCAGTCAGATATACCTTCTCAAAGTTACCTGTAACATAATTTCGCAATAACTCCCGGCGGGAAGATGCATGAAAGGAAGCCCCTAAATCAAGTTTCCAGTCATCAACAGAACTGTGAACTGCCAGAAATAGCGCATATTGTATTTCTTCAGTTACAACATTAGCGTCATCATTTTCTTTCTTCTTCGGATTCCTGCAGTTCTTTTTTATGTAGCCAGTCTTGCCAAAATTTCAGCAGGTTGTCTGCTGACTAGAATTTGATTTTGATTTTCTTATGTTTGAGTTCCTATCATGAGATCTCTCTCTGGAATCAACATTCAACGCCGAGCTTGAACACGAGGCCTTGTCAGAATTCTTCATGCACACCTCCTTAGCCAAAATCAAATCACGAATATTATCATATTTTAACTTAGATTTACCTGCAGAACTGTTAACTTCCATTCTCATGGTTTCCCAGTTATTTGACAATGAAGCCAACAATATCAGCCCACGTATCTCATCATCAAAATCAATTTCAACAGAAGACAACTGATGGTTTTTCATACATACCTGATAAAATCACCATGAGATCTGCAGTAGTCATCTTCTTGATGACGTTGTGGGCAACCGATCTCGACATGGTTAATTGAATAACTCCCAGAACCTGTCTATCCAACAAATTCCATTTCGCCTCGTCTATCTTTTCCGGTCGTTTTCCCAGTAATGGAAGAATAAATTTCTTCCCATAGAGGTAGTCTTCTATATACATCCTGCAGTAAACAAAATCTGTGTCATTGAACTTCTCGATCCCCGATGTCATCATTTTGTCTTCGCCCATCATTCTTTCTTAGATTCGAACCAAAGCTCTGATACCAGTTGTTGTGAAAAAATGATGACAATAAAATGAAAAATATAACGAGAAAAATTACACGTAGAAAAATATCAGAGCGACACAGATTTACGTGATTCGGCAAGTTTTACTACGTCCACGGAGCTGCAGAGGATTTTATTTTTTCGAGGAATTACACCGTTGAGCGTCTCGACGTTTACAAGAAAATTTTTATTTTCTTCTCTCCCTTCCTCTCTCTCTTTTTTAGAGGACTTGGTTTGATCTTATTTGGCTTAGCTTTGCTTGGTTTTATGACAAACCATAAGAGGTTATTTATAGAAACTAGAAGAGCGATAGGTGAGAGGTAGGTGAGCGGTAGGTGGGTGTGGTAGGTGAGCGGTAGGTGAGAGGTAGGTGGGTGTGGTAGGTGAGCGGTATGTGAGATTCTTAAATAGAAAGCTAATTAAATTGCGGTGGACCGAGTCTCCATATTACCTAACATGTCGCACACACTGGACTTCACGTTGTTGGGGATCCACACAACGAAATAGGATGAGTTCTTGTCTGAACGTTTATCATTTCGTCAACCCCTTGTAGTGCTCATTTTGTCGTGGAACATGACGGAGGCGGTGAGGTAACGATCGTGGCAGGAACCGGCGACACACATTATGTTTTTTGAATCCCACATCCGTTGAGTCAGTTTTGGAGAGGTGAGGGTACAATATTGTTGGGATCCACGGGATGTTAGGTTAGTGAAGCCGGCCCTGAAGAAATGGAGGCAGGGGGAATGAATGAGATTGACAATGAGCTTTCGGAGGTCGGAGTTCAGCTGTCTGGGGAGGCACATACAACAAATGACGCCGCTCATGGTGGCAGAGATGAGGTGACGGGTTAAAATAAATTTTCTGTTTTTTCGCGTCTTGAAAATACAGTTAAAATGTCGAAGAAGAAGTTCACATTCGAACGCAAAGTTTCTCTTACGGACCGGAATTTTAAAAAGCCGCTTTTTCATATTTTGCTTTTATTCGGACTTCCTAAAATGGCAAAGCCTCCTCAAACAAGGCCTAGATGTAGGAGAGGAGATTGCGGAAGAATCACAAAATAATAAAGTTACTTCAGAGCAGTGAAATCAAATGGAGGAAAGACTCCTTTGAATCATTCAAAAAGTGTTGGAGCATATTCTTTGAATCACTTTGCATATAGAATTTTTAGATGAATCCTCGGACTCTATGATTTGTCAACCATCTTCTAGTTTACAAGCATTAAATTCAACTCTAACAATTGATGAAACTTATTCTCTGAAAATGCATCATTGAAATAATCCCACTTCAATGGCTGAACATAGTAGGAGCTGACAATTTATCTAAACAAAAAATACCTAAACGCAACCAAAACGAAATTTTATTTCCATACTTTGAATTATATAACAGAGTCAAATCAAGCTAACAACAACATACTTTTTGTTATCCACCTTCTGTAGACTATTTTTTCTTTTGAACATTTAAGGAGCCATCATTGAGTTGATTTCAAGTCTTTTACCCGAAAGTATAGCAAGTTTTGTAGAATTCAAGCGCTGTTCATTACATAATTTGCGAGTGTTCAAAGGCTATTAAAAAACTCTCAAGCTCTCTTATAAAGATCAAGCAAGAACCTAATGAAACTCTACAGAGATTCTTACCCTTTCCCAGCTAGATTTTAAGTCTTACATATTTGGAACCTATGGTAGCCTTAGGTTATCCTAACTCGAGGTATTAGAGGACCATTTAGATATGCACTTGGATTGAAGCAATAAAAACTGTCGTTGAAATGTTTGAATTAACCCTCATTCATATAAATGCAAAAGAATACACCATTTAGAGACTTCAAAAGTTAAGTTTTGGAGTTCATGACAAGATCATCATAAGACAAATCTCAGGGCAACTAAGATTCAGTTGAAATAAGAATTTGCCTTAACAATCAACTGTATCAACACCATTAGTGATGAGTTGAACATAAGAAATCATTGACTTTTAAACTCCTATGAAAGTAAATGCAATAAATGATATGAAATATTTTTATTTTCCATCTCTTTTATTTATGCAACCTCATGCTTGGGATCCATCAAACTACTGCACCTTCTACAATGATCACGACCATGGCATGGAATATTGTTGACATCTTTACAATATGTTCATGGAATACATTAAAGCGAAACCTAATCTTGGATGCTAATTTAGAAATGAAGAGAAAAAGGAATGAATTAGCCCAAGCAAAAACTTCAGGGAGAATCAAATTAAAATGAGAACAACAAGCTCAAATTTAAATTGAGAAACACTAAGTAGCTTACAATGAGCAATAACGAATTAAGTATGTGAGTATCGCCAAGTATCAAGTTATGATTTTCCTTTCTATTGTCAAACACTAAGTAACTCATTCCATACTTTGAGTTAAAATTCAACATTTTGGCCAATGTTCTCTCTCAATTTAAATTTATGTAAATCAAGCTTTATGTTGAAATCTTTAGTATCTTAGGAGAAAAATCTAGTCTTATTTTTTACTTTCCTCTTCGTGGCAAGGCATGTATTCAGAGAGTTATCCATTATAATTGACTAGTTTAGATAGTTTCCTTTGGGAAGATGAAAGCTCTGGCGTGAGATGAGGCCTATTTAAGGCAATGGCTAGTCTGAAGATACATATAAAGAAAATAACCAAAATGATTGGAGTTTGTGTTCAACTATTTTCTATTGTCTTTGTATTTATTTGATAATTTTATGTTTTTTCTGGTAACTCAAGTCATTGTAATTTATTTAGTAATTCATCTGAAAGTTATTTAAAATTCTTCAAATGTTGTCGACTCGACATTCATCAAGAAGTGACATTTTTGCTGGAAGCATATTAAAAGAAGTTTACAAAGTTTTATGATTTATACTTTGACGGATGACAATTACCCTCTTTATCAGCACTAGCATCTCCAGGATCGTTTTTAAAGTGATTGTCATCATTAAAGAAAAAAAGCTATGGTATTACTATAGATGGTTTGGTTAATCACATTTTGGCTTGCTAATGAGTTCAAATAAAAGATGATTCCCATTTGATACTTGCTCATGATCATGGCTCTTAACAGAGCTAAGGAACTTGCTAAAATCTATATGTTTTGATTCTTATGAAGAAGTTCAGTCCTCCAACTCAAGAATTTTTAACACTTTTTGGAATTTTGTATTACAACTTTATAAGGACAACATTGATTGGTCAAATTGTTTTACTGATTGCTAAGATATGACTAATGAAGATTGTAAAATGTTTACTACTTGCTATGCACAATTTCGTTTTAGATGTAGCCATTTTTGTGACATTGAATCTCGATCCAAACTTATAAATCGGGTCAAGGAGAGAATATATGGCATCTAATCATTTTCTACTCATATCTTGTACTCAAATCAATTAAATAAAATTTCATAGTTTTATTTATTTTTAATCTTAGAGTCTCTCACTGGTTGCTTTTTGCTTAGCTATTCTTGTTAGTAAACTGAGAAGTTTGAATTCCATTACAGTTTGAAATTAGCATACAATGTTGCTGTAATTGGAAGTGGTCTCTAACTAAGACCACGTATTTTTTGACAGTTAATGGTTATGTTTTTTCTTTTATTTGATTCTCCCTTTTTCTAAAGAATAAAGATGGCTAAGCCTGGGTGCTCTTTCATTGAGACACACCCTTATCTTATTCATTGCATTGTTCCATACTCCATAAACTGAGCTAAATTCTAATAATTTTTTAAATTTATTGTTCCATAAGAAAATCTATATTTTTATATGCTGGTTCATTTGTTCTATATATTAAAAATTTGACGGCAAAATAAAGAGGAGAATACCTTTTTTGTACATTGAAATTTATGCTCTGCTAATTTGGTACATTGTTGGTGCTATTTTTATGTACTTTTTTATTTTCCTTGAAGTTTTTGCTCTAATTTATTTCTTTCCATTTTAATGCTTATTGACTAAGGCCAATGTTCCCTCTTATATATTAGGGGTTTGTACCTACAATACTTTTGAAATAATTTGTTCTTATTTTTTATTTTGATCTCTTGTTCTGCAGGTAATTGCTTTTCTTGGTGGTTTTGCATATTTCTTGGACAGAAATGGAGACTTCAGGAACTCTTTTACTGATGGTTGGGATCACATTTTGTCGAAGCATCCAATACCCTTCTACTATTGCTTAGGTAACTTCAGTTCCAGACATCAAGAATAAGTGAAGGCTCTGTTGTCCTTGCTCGATCTAACATCTTATGCAACTGGATTCTGCAATTTTCTTTTCTTTTCTCTTCATATATTTAATCCTTAAGCCAATAATCTCAAACCTGGATTTGACCTTTCAAGTTTAACGGTTTTGCACAGAGTTATATTAAATGATGAGCCTCATATCATTTGAAAGTTAAGGTCCGAATATAGAATTATAAAAAATAGGCCTATGTGACTTCGCCTTGTATAGTATATAGCTAAGGATGCATCAAGGGCGATCTTTTTTTTAGGGGCATTTACATACATAGCACACAATTCTTATTTATTTACATCTCACACCTAAACTTCCATATATTCACACATAGCATTGTAATCTTTAATATCATATCAAAACCGCTATTACAAATTTTTAGAAGTAAACACTGCAGTACATCTAATGCAAAAAGCTCATCGCTGCAGTACATCTGATAGAAATCATATCATAATTTATGCGAATTTAAATTTGAATCGCCAGCCCCGAGTAACTTTCCTAGATCACTTTTTTTTTATGGCATGTATAAATACTTGTGATCTAACTGCGCCAACAAATACCCAACTTATCTCAGTTCAGGTGAATTGTAAACTGAAGCTTTTTTTCTTAGACTTGCTGTTCTGGTTATTTAAAATGCCATTATTGATTATATTATGTTAAGACTGATCAACAGCAACTTTTGATTATTGTAACATGTCCTCTCTTTTTTATTTATAGTTCTGCTTGGGTACAATTTTCTGCTCGCTTATTTACGCCATAATGCTCACAGGAGTGCTTATATTTTTGGTGCTGCTCGGATTTTTCGGCCTGATCCTACACTGTTCATCCTTCGGCAGTAATGATCCATGCATGGCTGGCTGCCGCAACTGCTGCTACGGTTGGGGCATCCTGGACTGCTTTCCCGCATCTATGGAGGCTTGTTTTGCCCTCGTAGTCATATTCGTCATCGTCTTCGCCATCCTTGGAATTGCTTACGGTTTCCTTGCTGCAACAATGGCCATCCAAAGGATCTGGCAGAGGCATTATCACATCCTAACAAAGAGGGAGCTTACCAAGGCATTCAACTAACCTTCATCAATCGAACTCCTAACCTTCAGTCATTATGTTAGTCTGATATATTTTACATTTCAGGAGTATGTTGTGGAGGATCTGCATGGCTGTTACACACCTCCAAAGATGGATCCAGAGCATGAAGAGAGACTCAAACTGCTGAAGCTTCTGTGAATTCAGTGATGTGAAACTTAATAATCAGTCGCTGGCTGCGCGTTAAATTGTTTATGTCGCTGTATATGAATCGGTTGATGTGGAGAGTTGTTATTGTCGTGAGAACAATAGGCAGTTGTGTTATTGTTGTAGTTATTTTCTTCACTCTTGCGAAGTAGTCGAATTTGATTTTATTGTTTAGGGGCATTTACATGCATACTGCCCAATTCCTATGTATTTATATATCCAACAACTAGACTTCATTTTTTTTTATATTTATACCTCTCAAATCATTCATATCACAAAAAAATTATACTGTTTTAACTTTTTATAAGTGAAATGCATCTTTTTGTGCATTGGCAACGTGGTATGTGTAAAAATTGAAAATTTTAGATATGTAGATAGGTAGGAATTAAGTGGCAAGGATTTGGATGAACTGGAGGAACTTCATCCATGATGTGTGATCAGTTGCTCCAACTTGCATAGTATTTGGTTTGGGGGCTGTTTGAGATTATTTTTATATTTTGTTTTTTATTTTTATTTTAATTTGAAATACTGCATGTAAGATATGTTAAGACATGTTTAATTGTTTTTTCTTAAAAAGCACCCAAATCATCTCAAATTTATTTGTGTTTAAAAAAGTTGTAAAAAGTGAATTGTACATTTTAATGGTGGGAGAACTCCACATGTATTGCATTCCATAATACATTGTGTTAAACTGGGTTAGTCTCACTGAAATCATGTCTCCACTTGATCGTACGAGTCTGTTAGCCAATCAAAATCTTCATTTTATTGAGTTTCTCTTCTCATCATGGTGGGGTTGGCTCAATAAATTTGTTATAGTTTGTTTTTGGGGTAGCTGACCATTAAAAGTATTTAGAATGTGTTAAATTTTAACTAAAATTCAATTCATAATGAGCTGAGTTTGTTTATTAAAATTTAAAAGTGTGTAGATGGAAGTGTGATGAATAGAAAGCTTTTAATAAGCTATATAGTGGGATATTGTCAGCCTCTATACAATTAAATTCAACGACTTTAGTCCTATCAAATATCTTCCATAATACATTGTGTTAAACTGGGTTAGTCTCACTGAAATCATGTCTCCACTTGATCGTACGAGTCTGTTAGCCAATCAAAATCTTCATTTTATTGAGTTTCTCTTCTCATCATGGTGGGGTTGGCTCAATAAATTTGTTATAGTTTGTTTTTGGGGTAGCTGACCATTAAAAGTATTTAGAATGTGTTAAATTTTAACTAAAATTCAATTCATAATGAGCTGAGTTTGTTTATTAAAATTTAAAAGTGTGTAGATGGAAGTGTGATGAATAGAAAGCTTTTAATAAGCTATATAGTGGGATATTGTCAGCCTCTATACAATTAAATTCAACGACTTTAGAGGTGCAAGTAAGCCAACTTTACTCGTGAACTGGCTCGAGCTCAGCTTGATAAGTGGATCGTATCTCTCTTTGACTTTTCTCAACGATGAGATAAAAAAGAGTTTACTTCATCCAAGCAACGAAATCAAGGAAATCTATCCAATATTTAAATTCTTCCCCAGCTTAATTCAATACGTTTTATATGAAATATTGTTTGTGAAATCATGGTGGGAACCTCCTCTTCTACCTCCGTTTTGTCCATTACCCAAACAGAGGTCCCTTCCCTCTCTTTTCTTTCTTGTACCCACTCACTCCTCTCTTTACCACCATCTAAATCAAGCCCCTTTCCACTCTTTTCCTTTCTTTTCTTCCATGGTTGAAACCCTAGTTCAAACATGCACATGCTTCCCCTCTCTCTTACTAGTAACCCTATCCCAACACACTCACCCTCTTTCTCTCTCTTACCCGAAACCCTAGTACAAGACACTTACACTCACCCTCTCTTTATATTACCCAAAACTCTAGCCCCACACACTCACACTCTCACCCTCTCTCTCTCTCTTAACTACAAACCCAACCCAACACACTTGCATTCACCCTCTCACTCTCTTGATTGAAACACTAACCCAACACACTCACACTCACACTCAGCCTCTTACTTGAACCCTAGCCCAACACACTCACACTCATCGTCTCTCTCTCTTACCTGAAACCTACCATCAACTCACCCACACACTCCCTCTCTTTTACCCAAAAACCTAGCCCAACATACACACACACACACACACACACACACACACACACACACACACACACACACACACACACACACACACACACACACACACACACACACACACACACACACACACACACACACACACACACACACTTCCACTTTCTCTTTCTTACCTAAAACTCTAGCCCAAAACACATACACTTCCTCTCACTCTTTTACTCGAAACCCTAGCTCAAGACACACACTCCCCTCTCTCTCTTACCTGAAACCGTAACCTAAGCCTCCTCTCCTCTCTCCCTCACTACTCTACTTGAAACTCTAACCTAAGCCTCTTCTCCTCTCCCCTTCACTACCGTACCAGAAACTCTAACCTAATCCTCCTCTCCTCTTTCTCTCACTACCCAACTCGAAACCCTGACTTAAGCTTCTGTCTGCTCTCCCTCAATATCTTACCCGAAAACCTAATATTCTTTCCCTCAATACCCTATCCACAACCATGACCTAAGCCTCCTCTCCTCGCTCTCCAATAGTACCTTATCCAAAACTTCAACCTAAACTCATCTCCTCTCTTCTTCAGCACCCTGCCCAAAACTCTAATCTAAGCTTCCTCATCTCTCTCCATCACTACCCTACTTGAAACTCTAACATAAGCTCCTCACTTCTCTCCCTCACTATTCTACCCAAAATCCTAACCTAAGCTTCCTCTCATTTTTCCTTCACTACCCTACCCAAAATCCTAACCTAAGATCCTTTTCTCTCTCCCTCACTATCCTAGCTAAAACCCTAACCTAATCTCCCCTTCACTCTCCCTCACCACCCTACTAAAAACCTTAACCTAAGACTTCTCTCCTCTCTCCCTCATTTCTTATGGCATTATGGCCTAAACCCTAAACCTAGCTCTACATATCCCCTCATTTTTCCCTTGACAGAAACATCCACTCACATATAAACACCATACACACTTCACTTCACTTCCTATATCCCAAACCTCCAACCATAGCTCTCCCTATCATCTTCTTACCCTTGATCGAAAATTCACACCTACATGAGTTAATTAGCATGTGAAAATTTTGTATGTTTTCTCATATATATACAATTAAACTTGAGATGATAGAGTTATTAATCAACTAACATGATGATGCTTATGTTCAATGAAAAACATGCTTAAGTTTATGATCCATAAAAATTTACAATCTTAGGCATATGTTCCATGAAAATTTTCATTTTTAGGATTTTATTCTATGAAAATTACCTTTAAAGCTTTAGCCTCAATTATTGCAATCTTTTTAACATCCCATTTTTTAAGAAGACACCTAAAAACTTTATAGAATTATAGAATAATCTTGATTCTTATATATTCTTCCAACAAAATATGATGTGTTGACTCTTTCATCATAAATATAATTATTAGGAGAGAGTATTTATCTCAAATATTTTTTTACTTAACGTAAAAATTTTCATGTGATCATCTGAAAGATGTGTGCAATGTAAAGTATTGCATGCCTTATCATTTGCTTCATCTAACTCTCTTTGCAGTCTATTCATCAAAAGTTTTTAAATTTTAATTTCATTTATTTCTTTAGTGTGTATGCATGTGCCACATGCATGTCATATTCTTTTAAGAAAATAATAATTTAATTTTTTCAATAATCAAATAGGACATTTATGAGTAATAATGGCCTGTAAGTAGATTGTCCTTAGGAAATGAACCAGTATGAACTCCCTATGTCATAATTTATATGCAGATACTCTAATATATTAAACAAGAAGAAAGAGCTGAGACTTTGATAATAATTATGTGATCGATGACAATGGCTTTCTATGAGGGAGGTGAGTTGGGTTTTAAAAAAATATTAATAAAAATAATTAATATGATTTTAATGTCAATACATAAGAATATGAAATGACACTTACATATCAAAATTTAATAAGAAAATAAAATAAAAAAGCACCAAAAGTACAAGTAAGAAATATAACAGGTACAATATTTTTACTTTTTTTGATAAATCGAACTTACATCCACTCTAACTAACCAAAGTGGTAGAAATCAATAAAATCTCAAGCTTACAAAAAAAAATATCAAATCCTTAAATTGAAAAAGCTGTTTAGAACCTCATTTGGGCGAGTATAAATATAAGTACGACAATATTTTCACTATGCAAAATGACATAGATAAAAAAAAAATAAATGTACAAACTTTTGTAGATTATACAAGCTCAAACTATAATGCAATAAATTAACCCACAAATAATTTGAGTTGAATTTTTAAATTAATGTTAAATCACCTCACAACTTGCAAAGAGAATGCAAAGCTTGCTCACTAAAAAATAAATTTATATCTTAATTAAAGTAACTAATATAATTATAACTTTGAGTTAAAAAAGATTAATTTATTTTTTTTAAATAGAAAAAAAAAATATATATTTTTAATATGTATTAGATTTATATATAAAATATATGAATATGCTCAAATAGTATTCCACACAATAATAAAAATTTTAAAGACAAGTGTAAGACGAAAATTATAATAAAAATAAATAAATATTTAAAGTAAGAAATTTGGTGTTAAATATTGTAACAAATTCAATTCTAATTAAAAGAATGTCATGTAGCACATCAAATCACAATTAAACAATCAAATGAATTCAAAGAAGTTAAAAAAAAAAAAAAACAACTTAAAATTTGGTGTCAATAATTGAAATATTTTTTTAAAAATATAAATTTTTTTTAAAATATAAATTTTTTTATATTAATAGTATTTCTTAAATATATGAATTAATCTTCAGATGATATTAAATAATTTATTTAAAATCTATTATTAACCATAAAATTTTGAAAAAAAAAATTCAATAATTCTAAAATAAAATATACTTACTTACTTATTTTGGTAAATTTGATGTAATTTATGAAGTACCCTAAAATATTCAAATTTATCTAAATATAAAAAACTTTGATGGTTAATTTATAAATATCCCATAAAAATTTCTTACAAATTTACCCTGCTATAAGTAGACAAATCTCGCCTGCCATCGCCGGGCTTTCGGCTTCTCCATCGCAGTTTCTACTGCCCCTGTATTCTGTTTCGTTTATACAATTTCAGCGTCGTCAGTTTGTGAAAACTAGCTTGAAATTCTTCCCATAGGTCGATAGATGGTGGTTAGGATTATATTCCAATCTTCAAAACAAAGAAAAAAAAACTAATTTTGGATCGCAATTCTTATTCTATTGTTTGATTTGTGCGTCGAATCGCTTCTTGTTTATTTAGGCTTACGATTACGGTTTCAAATTTCAATCTTTAGCTCGAAAGGTCAGAGCTTGAGCTATAGGGATTTTGCTTTTTTGGTTTAGTTTTCTCGATCTCTGAATCCTTCACTTTTAAGAAAATCGGGGAGTGTGTGTTTAGAATTAGGGTTTGTTTGTCGCGTTATTTGATCAGCGAAGGAATGGAGAGGAAGAAAATGGCGGTTCCGCTCGTTTGCCATGGACACTCACGCCCAGTTGTGGACTTGTTCTACAGTCCTATCACTCCAGATGGTTTCTTTCTTATCAGTGCAAGCAAGGGTGAGCATTTTTTACTTGTCTTTCTTTCTTGGGATTCATTTTATAAAGTTTGGTTTATTTTCGTCAAAAAGGCCTTTTTTAATAGATGTACTTGTCATCTACAGCTACACAGATATATAGTTGCAAAGTTTCTTGCTCTGTTTGGATGTAAGTTGGATTCAGTAAATCCAGATGTTATAAATACTGTAAATTTGAACTTGTAAATCCTATAAATTAGCATATCTAGTGCATGAAGGTTCTTTTTTATGTAAGGTTTGAGCAGGAGTGCAGTTCACAGCTTAATGCATGAATTTACATGAAAGGTCTGTCAGGTCTTAAAAATTATTTCGATGCAAGTAAGATGATTGATATATCTTAGGGAGTTTGTTTAAATTTGGTGAGGTCATTTGATTTGAAGGGAGAGTTTAGTAAGTATGAATTAAAGCTACTATAATGAATTTTAAAGTGATTACTTGGTTGAATTAGTTAAGGATTATTTAGTTACTAAATCAATCAACACCTAACTAGTGAAATTGTTTATTTAAAAAGAATAATAATATTCCAAGTTTTTTATTTGAACACCATGCGTTTGATAATCATGGATTTTTTGTTGATGAGCATCATCATCAACATATCCTTATTTCAACTATTTGATGCCTGTGTTATGAGTTTTCATTATAATTGTTCTTATTGAGAATTGTCCGAGGTGTTATACCTATTATTCATGCATCATTTTGATCAATTTCTATTCAATGCTTTATTGATCTCTGCATTGCGATAAAATAATTTTAGTACTGCATTGGCATCTTAGATATCATGTGCTTGGTATGAGAAAGCACGGTATTCAACTATAGTTCTAGATAGGAATTCAAATTTGAATGCAATTGTTTCACTCGATAGAGTTTCATGGCTCAAATTTATTGTTGTGAAAGAAGTTATAGCTTTTATTATTATTATTTTTTTTTGGAAGGAAAGAAGCTTTAGCTTTGGGGTGAATAATGGTGCAACTATTCTATTCATGCTTCTGCTTTTAGGTTATTGCTTGAAAATTTTCTTTCATTACACTTTCACGATTACCTTACCTATCCCTTACACGTCTTGAGCAAGTTTTTCTTATATATTGTATGTTTCCTTCAAATCTCACAATTTTTCTTATATATTGATACCTCCTTCGAATCTCACTTGTTAAAAACATATAGTTATTTTGAATGTGAAAATACAAGTTAAAGATCCTATGGGACCTCCAATTGATTTTAGAAAAGAACATAGTGTCAAAATAGCCCCATGACTATTTACATGAGACCATTTTAGTTCTAGAGTTTATAAAAGTTCTAAATTAGTCCCCAAAATTTTTTAATGGGGGCTAAAATAGTTCCTATTGGGAACTATTTCAACCTATACTTAAAAAGTAAGGGAACTAAATTGACATTTTTATGAACTTTGGAACTACAATAACCCCTTCAAATAGTCAAGGATCTTTTTGACACTTTTCTCTTTTAAAAAATGAACCTTAGGTGATGTCAAGGAAATGAACCTAAATCTACTCATTGTCTTACAAATTGTTGAACAAATAATTTCAAATAACATATATGAGAGTATTCTTCAAGATGGTGGCACCTGAATATACTTCATTGATAACAACTTTGTAACTATGACACCCAAATATACTTCTGTTAAAGTTTTGAGAAAAATAGGCTGAATGCTGAATAGACTCCATGCCTTTTCCCTTTGCTCTCATTCCATTAAATAATAATCTTACAATCTTTTTTAGGTACAAAATATTCTGTATAATCAATTTTAGGCAACTTAATAATACATTTTTCTAATCTAAATATTTGGCTAAAAGGGAAATAAATCAGAATAAAGATATTGAAAATAATTTAAACAAGGAAGCTCCTAATTATAGAAAACTCCTAATTTAGCTGCCTGATTTCTGGTCTTCCAGATTGACATCCCCCTCAAATTGATACTGACTGATCAGGAAATATCAATTTGCCAACAATAAACTGATAACACTATCGGGACCAAAAAAATCCTTAAGCCGTAAGTGCCGAAGCCGAAGGTGCCGAAGCCGAGAATGTCGAAGCCTCAGAGACAACTCCTGAATCATAACATGATTTGAGCAAAGAAAAATAAGAAATTTTTTTATCATTGTCGTCCGGAAATTTGAATCATAGCCACAAGAATGATTCACTACCAATTACACGATCCAAATGCTACCAATCACAGCCCACAAATAGAATCCAGTTACATGATCCAGATGCTATCGATCATAGTTTACAAGTAGGATCCGTATACTAATCCAATTGCTACCGATCATAGTCCACAAATAAGATCCATTTACACGACTCATATGCTATCAATCATAGTCTAAAAGTGGGACCCGCATCCTGATCCAAATGCTACTGATCATAGCCCACAAAATGATCAAGTTATACGATCCAGATGCTATCGATCATAACATACAAGTAGGATCTGTGTTCTGATCCAAATGCTACCGATCATAACCCACAAATAGGATCCAGTTATATGATCTAGAGGCTATCGATCATAGCCGACAAGTAGGATCCGCGTCCTGTTATACGATCCAAATGCTATTGATTTTTCTTGCGATGACGAGTACGATATGTTCCTTGATCTTCAAGCCAAAAGCACTGAAGCCGAGATGCCGAAGCCGTGAGTGTTGAAGTTGAGATTGCCAAAGCCGCGAGTGCCGAAACCAAAGATCTAGAGTTTGTTGAAGTAGAACCCATCGAGCCGAAACCAAAGATCTAGAGTTTGTTGAAGTAGAAGCCGTCGATCTAGGAAGGAGTGTCGAAGCCTTCAATCTTTGAGTGCGACGAATAAGCCAAAGTCGAAGCGAACGAAGCCGATGTGGAAGAAGCAGTCGAAGTTGCCGCAGAAGCAACGATGACAAGTGAATGAGATCTGAAGAAACAATGAGACGACGAGCAGAAGAGCGAGAATCAAAGCAAAAAAATAGTTCCTCCCTTCCTGTCTTGCAAGAAGGCCGGCGGGATGGGGGTCTTAACGGTACTCCAACAATTATCGGTGGTTAGGGCAAAAATTTGGCTCTGATACCATGTTAAAGTTTTGAGAAAAATATGTTGAATACTGAATAGACTCCATGCCTTTTTCCTTTGCTTTCATTCCATCAAATAATAATTTTACAATCTATTTTAGGTACAAAATATTCTGTATAATCTATTTTAGGTAACTTAATAATATATAATCTAAATATTCGGCTAAAAGGGAAATAAATTAGGATAAAAATATTGGAAATAATTTAAATAAGGAAGCTTTTTAATTGTAGAAAACTCCTAATTTAGTTGCCTGATTTTCGGTCTTTCAGATTGACAACTTCTACGACAAGAACTCTCATTAC